TTATAATGTCGTTTTATCTATGTTCTTATCCTTTTATTATTTACATGCATTCTTATCCGGGTTTAATAATTTAAGCTACCCCGGGTTAATTAAATCCATCACCATTTTTGTTTCAAACTTGGTTTGATTTCAATTTTGCTCTGTTGATTCACCGCCGTCATCACTACTTTGTCGAAGGGGTCACTGCCTCGGTAAACGCTGGAGGGGAAAGTTACACTGGAGAACACAAAGATGCCACATGCCAGAGCACCGCTGCTTCGCCGGAGTTCAAGAGAAGAGACAAAGGAGGAAAGACGGAAATACCTCTAGATTACACAGCCATGAGACGGAAATGTTAACGATGGACTAAAAGTGGAACACTTATAATAACAGTGGTCGCAATGTGACAAAACAAATAATGATGGACTAAAATTGGAATGACTCCTATAACAGTAGGACCAAAAATGAAATTAACTCTAAAATATATTATCTTACCCCATAGTGTTCATTATTCTAACACCCGTGCGGAACAACATTTTAAAAAAAATATATTAAAACGACGTCGTTTTAGACCGTGGTTCACACAATAATTTGCTATATATTACTCTCCCCCCCCCCCCCCCCCCCCCCCCGTCGTTTTAGACCGTGGTTCACACAATAATTTGCTATATATTACTCTCCCCCCCCCCCCCCCCCCCCCCCCCCCTTTTTTTTTCCAGTTTTTTCAAAAAAAAAAGATTAAATAAATTTTGTTTTTATAAAGTATGAAGTAAATTGTAATATCAAATTATTCAAAGTAAATTGTTTCTTTATTATTCGATATAAAATAATAATTTAAAGGGGTAAAAGTCAAATAAGCTATTGAACTATTTATGAAAATGCAATTAGGCCATCGAACAAAAATGAAAAAATCTAATTAGATATATAAACTTAAAAAAAATACAATTAACTTATTTTGACATGTTATTGTAAGTTTTCCAAATTAAAGGTGATTGTAATGCAATATCATTATATTTTATTGACTTGGATGTTTAATAATAATAATTATTATTATATTTATTATTATTATTATTATTATTATTATTATTATTATTATTATTATTATTATTATTATTATTATTTATTATAAAGAATTAAAATATTTTTTTTAAAAAATAAAATAGCTTGGCCGGAAGCGAGTTGCTATTGTGACCAAGTTATTTGGCTAAAGTGTCATTCCGCACCATGAACCATAAGCGATTTTTCATGCCGCACCATGATCTTTCATAAATGTTGTTTTGATTCTCAAACCAAAATTTTTTTGTCATCTAGAACTTTTCACAGGTTATCTATAGGTTGCAGGTGATAATTTGCTGACATGGATTTTTTTTTTTCTTTTTCATCAACATAGTCAACACAGTTTTCTTGCCCTCCATTGATTGCGGTATATTTTCAAACAAATAATTTACTCAGAGTAACGAGTTATCGATCCACAGGGAAGTGGGGAGTATCAAGCACTAGCTACTAATTTATTCTTGTGAAACTAATCCTATCGATTATCATGGATGGTTGATAAACATAAAACTAATAAAGCAAAGCAGCAGGTTTGCGAAAACAATAGAGAGAGAATGAGATTTCTGGGATTCAAGTATTTAATCACCTAGTGCCAACCTTATGAACAATATTAAATCCGGGTTTAAACAAGTGTGAGAATGCAAAGATGGTATAGAGTTACTTCCGTAATCTCTAACCTATGTGAATATTCGCTCCCGCGATATAAACACACAGCAATAAAGGAACATGCATTCATAATAAATTCCTAACTACTATCATCTCCCGATGTGCAATAATTAAGAATTAAACTCTCTAATATATATGCCATCTCTCAATGTGCAACACATAAGGGCCATTGTGAGTACTCTCAATTATGTCTAACTCCCATTATGACATAAATGATAGCTATGAAACAAGTAATTCGGGCCCTAAATTACTAGCAACAACGATATAAAACACAATTGCAACACAAGTATAAAACCCAAATATCAATATATTAAGAATATGAGAAACAAGCACATAGGTTCATAAATACTTTTACCCACGAATCTCTAAGGGAATTTAGCCAAGCATGGCTAAATTATTCATAACAATTATAATAAAGAGTTTACAAATAATCAAAGTAAGTAGCGGAATAAACCAAGTGATTCTCCCAAATCTCCCTAGCTTTTCTTCTTGCTTCCAAAGACAACTTATAGTTCTTGATTCTCTTTCTTCTTGTCTCCAAAATGCAGCTTAGACTTCTCTAGGATTGAGGAAGGCGGGATTTTATAGCAGGAATCAAGCGGGGAGAGATTAGGAAGTTTCCGCGCCCAAAACATTCCAAAATCTGCCCAGAATTCTCGACGCGTCGAGTTTTCTGTTGTCTTCGTGCACAACTTACTAGAATTTCTCGATGCGTCGAGTTTGTTGCTACATACCAAATTGTAGCCCTTCGAGTCTTCTTTCCAATGGCGCAAGAATCACTTGAGTCGGACATTCTTAGAGTGAGATATGATCAAAATACTAAGGTGTCGCCAAATTCAACGCAATTACAACTCTTTGATCTTTTGCTACACTTTTCCCTTGTTTTGTTCTTGTAATCAAGTCCATTGAAAGTACGACTCTTTGGCTCTCTTTGAAGCATTTTAGCTACCTCCTCAGCTTCACCTTGACTTTGTTTTAGCTCCAAACTTGTCCTAGAACTTCCCTTGCTTTTGCAACTGACCTACAATGGTTCCAAAACACTAACAAACACCGTAAAACATTCAAAACAAGTGTAAACGATATCTTAATTAGAAAACAAGGGAATATGCAATTAAGTAACATTATCATGAACTTAGACCCAACAAATATTATCAAACGAACACTAGAAACATGTATTCTCCAACCTGTTTAGTGCTTGTTGACATCCATCATAATCATCCTCATCAACTCGTCATCTTCATCATAATCATCCAAGGTGGTCGGTCACTGCCGTTGCTCCTTCGCTCAAAGAATCATCTTCAATGCACGAATTTTATTAACGTTGGCGAAGAATTTGAACCCAGTCTAATAACAGATTGTATGCCGAACTCCACACACGAGTTAGCCTACAAAAGGGAAAACAGTAACGGTCGATCTTCACAGGCAAGTTATCTGGCCAAATAATAAAGCTTAAAAACCAGTCTCCACAGGCGAGTTATCCGACCAAATTTATCACAAGACCGGTCTCCACAGCCGAGTTATCTGGTGATTGAGAAATAGTCAGTACGAAAAGGAAAGCAAAAAGAACTTACCTTTTACATGAATGAACCCAAGTTTATGGACCAAAGAGCTTCTTATCAACGTCAACTTTCACGACTATCGCAACACCTTAGCCCACAACGCCGGACATCCCCTAGAGGCTCCTCTCACCGGAAAAGCTGTGGGTGAGTCAGAGAACTCAGTGGACACACTGGAAGAGACTATGTGACCATCGGACTTACTCTAATCAGACAAGCCAACAACCGCCAGGAAAGGGGAGGCAGACACCTCCACAACCAGGTCACAAGAACCCTTCGCGACCTTCAGACTTCCGAAGGACCGAACCACCCCACGACGTCGTCGTCAATAAGGGACGGGCAGTAGCGTGAGCCAGGACTCTGGTGGGGCCGTCAAACAGGTACCCATCGCCGCCGGCGAACAAAGCAATGAGAGGAGAGGGGAAAAGGACGGAGCTCGTCCCATCGCTGCTTCTAGATGCCACCAACCACCGCCGTCCACTGCTACTGCCGGATCTGTTCACGCTGGACTAGAGGATGCTAAGGAGTAGCCGAATCTGCTTGTTGCTGGCGCCGTGCTTCCATTAACGAGGAGGAAGGGGCGAAGATGAAGAGAGAAGCACGAGAAGGGAACGCCGGAGCTGCCATCGTCGCTGCTTGCTTGCATGCTGGTGGTGTCAGTTTTTTTTTTTTTTTTTTTTTTTTATAAATTAAAAATGCTTACATGACCCCATCTCTCATTTTTAATTAAAATTAATAAGGCCACATCAGATACTAGCGACTCCATATCATCAAGTTTACAGGGCAACCTGTAAAAAAGGCTAGGCGACAAAAAAATTTGGTTTGTGAATCGAAACAGCAGTTATGAAAGGTCAGGGTGCGGCATGAAGAATCGCTTATGGTTCATAGTGCGGAATTGCATGATAGCGAGCTGCCATTATAAAGAATTAAAATATTTTTAAAAAATTTAAAATAGCTTGGCCGCCATGGTAGCGAGCTGTCACTGTGACCAAGCTATATTTTTTAAAAAATAAAAATTATCATAAGACTATAACTTTTCTAAAGACATTAAAGCCTTTGAGTTTATGAAGGTAAAAAATCAGGCTGAAGATAACTAGTGAATCAGTCTAAAAAGTTCGTCCGATCAACTTCTAAAAATTGTTCCAACCTTTTTCTTCCTATATACTCCATATATGTAAATGTTTTCTTCCAAGAGGGGGAGATAATTGTAGAGGGACGAATTTAGAGTTTAGACACTTCAAATTTGGAAAGAAATTGCACTAAGAAGCTTAGAGTTTGGTCTTAAGCATATCAAGAAAGGGATCAGAAGGAAGATAACGAAGCTTCAAGGATGATCAACCCCTAAGTTTTTTTGTTTTGTTTTTTTTTTTTAATTAATTAAAATCTCTTTTTCTTGTTTTAATTGAGATATTTACTTTGGACATTCGTGATTTATTTGTCATCATGAGGGCTAATTTTCTTTAAGGGTTTGAATTTGTGTGATTTTTTTTGATCTAGCTTGTTGATCTTAAATTTTTGATTTTATATTATTTATATTTCTTTAAGTGTTGTGTTTATGTGGTTTAATTAATAATTGCATAAAACTCATCAAATTGTATGCTATTCTTGCTTGTTAATTGCACACGAGAGTGGTGTTAATTTAGGCATCACAAGCACATTAGAAGGCACCAGTGCACCACATGATAATATGTGATTTTATAGGGGACTTACTATACATTTATTGTCCTTTTTTTTTTTTTGAGCTCTGTGAGTTGTAACAAGAGTTGGATTTGAATAGTTTAATCACATACTTGTGCATGAAATTAGAAGTTACACTAGATAGCAATCTATCGCACTTAGGAATTAAAATATTAAAAAGAATTTTTTTTTGAAATATGGCGTACCAGTATATTAATTCAAAAATTGAATGATAGAGTCAGGAGGGATTAAATCCCAGTACATAGAATGATCCTGATCATGGGCTAATCTAGCAAGAGTATGCGCATGTAAATTTAGAGTTCTTGGAATAAAACTAAGCGAACAAAAAACGAAACTATTAATAGCTATCCTGCACTGCTCAATCACAATTCCAACATAAGATAAGTTCGGTGTAGTTACTGCATGAACCGCATTCCTGAAGACAAGACAATCTGTAAGAATATCGACCTCGTTCTCGTTTCGGTCTTTAAGCCAGGACAAGGCTTCCTTGCATGCTAGTGCTTCTGCCATAAGAGGAGTTAAACACCCCGGGAGTTTTCCGTTTGCCGCTGCTTTGAACAAACCATTCGGATCGAGTAAGACCGCCCCATAGGTTGCATCTCCCGTCCCCGGATCGTATCCGGCGTCGACGTAGCACGTCGTCCGCCTGGCTGCCACTGTCTGCACCTCGCCGGCCGGTGCCGCTTCTGGACGAGAATGAAGTGCCGTGTAGCTCGCCTCCCCCGCAGCTGCACGGCGCCACACCACCTCCGGCCTCCGTACCGCATGTTGCCAGACCGCCTCGTTTCTGGCCATCCATAAAAAATAGAGGACCCCCACAACGCGTCTGACCTGTTCTCCTGTGAGCATATCCATAACAGTCATAAGCCAGTTCGGGAAAGATGTTGAAGAAATATTCATAATAGGCAATCCCGAAATATTCCACACGGCTCTAGAATAATCACATAAAACTAATGAGTGCATAACATTCTCATTTGTAAGACCACACAACATGCATGTTGGGTTCACATCTACCCTCTTTATAATCAAATTTGCTGTGGTTGGGAGTATATCACACACTGCTCTCCATAAAAAAGTTTTCCACTTAGGGGGGACTTTCAACTTCCACAATGTAATCCATCTATCAAATTCTCCCAATGTGTGATTAAATTCTCCCATTAGACGCCTATAAGCATCTTTTACAGTGTAGCAACCATTCGCATCATTATGCCAATACCATGTGTCTTTATAGTCTGGGCTCACAGGTATTCTCAAAATACGATCCACATCCTCAGGCTCAAATAAATCTGTTAAAATATGAGGGTCCCATGTTTTTGTTTGCTGATCTATTAAACCTGCAACAACTGCATCCCTTAATGGTTCAGGCATTACTGTTTGAACCAGTGGACTAGGATTATCCTGCAACCACGGATGACCCCATATCAAAGTCTCCTGGCCATTTCCAATTCTCCTGCGGACGTGGGCAACAACAAAATCATGAGCAGCCATAATACTTTGCCAACAAAAACTGGGATTATTTCCCATCGTTGCATCAACAAAAGAAGTTTTAGGGAAATATCTTGCTTTATATATTCGTGCTGGCAGAGATCCTGGATTTGTTAAGAAACGCCATGCCTGTTTACCCAACATTGCCAGATTAAAATTCCTCAGATCTTTAAACCCCAATCCACCAAACTTTTTAGGGATACACAATTTGTTCCATGCTTTCCAGTGGATTCCTCTGTCTGGCCCTTTCCCCCACCAATACCTATTCATGGCCCTTTGTACCGACTCGCAAACTGATTCAGGGAGCAAAAAAACACTCATTGAAAATGTGGGCATAGACTGAGCCACACTTTTCAAAAGTACCTCTTTGCCAGCCTGTGATAACAATTTCTTGTTCCACGAGAAAACTCTTTGTCTGATTTTTTCTTCTATATAAGAGAAAACAGCCCTTTTATTTCTCCCTATAAAAGAGGGTAACCCCAGATATTTTCCAAAGTTCCTTGCCTGTTCCACGCCCAAACATTCGGCCACCTCTTCTTTCATCTGTTCCGCAGTATTCTTACTATAGCATATATTAGATTTACTATAGTTTACCAACTGACCAGATAATTCCCCATACCTCTCCAAACACCGCTTAACCACCATAGCTTCCTGGACATTTGCTTTAAAAAATAATAAACTATCATCAGCAAAAAATAGGTGTGATATTGGGGGGGCTCCCCTAGCCACTCTACAACCGTGAATAGATCCTACTGCCTGCTCTTTCTGCAAAAGCATGGATAAACCTTCAGCACAAATAATAAATAAGAAAGGTGAAAGTGGATCTCCCTGTCTGAGACCCCTTGTTGGTTGCACCTGGCCTCCACTCACGCCATTGACCATCACAGTGTATGATACAGTGGTAACACATGTCATTATCAGCTTAATCCACCTTCCATCAAAACCCATTACTTCCAGCATTCTTTTCAAGAATGGCCACTCCATTCTATCATAGGCTTTCGCCATATCCAGTTTAAGCGTTCCCCACCCAGCCACTCCACACTGTTTACGATTCAAAAAGTGGCCCACCTCTGCCGCCACAAGTATATTATCCGTTATAAGCCTACCTGGGATGAAGGCACTCTGAGATTCTGAAATCAGATCCCCTAGCATAGGTTTCAATCTGTTGGCGATCATTTTTGCCATAATCCTGTACAATACATTACTCATGGCAATAGGCCTCAAATCCGCCACAGTTGTAGGATCATTCTTTTTCGGGATCAAAACAATATTAGTTGCATTTAAATCACCCGGGATTTCACCTGAATTCAAACAATTAACAGCAAAAGCAGACACATCTTCTCCAACTATATCCCAAAACCGCTGATAAAATCCAGGATTCATCCCATCCGGTCCCGGTGCCTTGTCAGGATACATGGCAAATAAAGCAGTTTTGACCTCGGCCACATCATAGGGACACAACAATGCCTCATTCTGGTCAGTTGTCACACGGGGCCCAAACTCATCAAATAAAGAATCCTCACACACAGGATTACTAGTAGCAAAAATTGTATTGAAATAATTGATTACTACATTATTCATATCCTGTCCCTCCACCCATACCCCATTCTCATTCAACAGCTTAGAAACAGAATTCTTTTTCTTTCTAGCAGAAGCATACCTGTGATAATATTTCGTATTCGCATCTGCGCCACAAAGCCAATGCTGCTTCGCTCTCTGCCTCCAAAAGACATCTTCCTGGGCTTCTAACTGGGAGATCTGGTTATTCAACAACTGGAACTGAGCCAAAGATGCCGGATCCCTCCTACCACGGATCCGCCCCTGCTCCCTGCGGAGTCGCCGGATATGCTCACCAAACTTATGAAAATGGTCACCGCCCCAGCGCATCAGCCTATCCCCACATCGTTGCTGACAATTCAACAACCCCTCTGTCCTCCCCCCTTGCCAGGCAGTTTCCACCACTTCTCTACACCCCTCATCAAGCAGCCATGCCATCTCAAACCTGAACCTCCTAGGAATCCTTCCTCCTCCCCTTTTTCGTGCATTCATATCAAGAAATAGAGCCGAATGATCCGAGTTACTAGTAATTATATTCTCCACCCCCGCCCCTCCATGCACATCACACCACTCCATCGTTGCCAGTACCTTATCTAGTCTCTCCTCAAGCCATTGATCTGTTCCACTATACTTTTCCCATGTGAACTGATACCCCCTCATAGGTAACTGACGCAATCCACAGTCATCCACAGCTTCACTGAAACCCCGGAGAAAGTTATCTGGATGTGGATTGGTTCCCCTTTTCTCATGCTGGAATAAGAGATCATTAAAATCCCCTATTACAACCCACGGAAGGGGAGATTTCCCCACCAAAGATTTAAGCAACTCCCATGATTCTCTCCTTTGACTACTTTTAGGAAAGCCATAGAAACACGTCATACGCCATGTCTCTTCTGATGACATACGGACCTCAATATCCACATGGTTTTTCGAATAGCCCAGTAGTGTAGCTGTATTATTCCTCCTCCACAACAAAGCCAATCCCCCACCATTCCTCACACTATCCACATAGAACAAACCTTCAAAACCTATCCTCACCCGCAATCTCTCTGCATGATCTCGCTTCACCATTGTTTCCATTAGAAATACAAAGTCAGGCTTCTTACCGGACACAAGGTCCACAATCTCTCGAACTGTACGTGGATTGCCCAAGCCACGACAGTTCCAACTTATCGTACTCATGATGATGGGCGGGACTGGGCTCCAGTTCCCGCCACTCGCAAGTTTTTTGACACATCGGTCATAGCCACATCCTCTCCTTCAACACCCCGGCGGCGCTTGACATTTGCCACCACTCCCTCCCCCCTCTCCCCAACCCCCATACTTCCCTCCCTTATTTCCCCCTCTTCCCGCCCCCATACACCGCCACCTTCCACACCCTCCCCCGCCTCCTCCCTCACCCTTGGTTTCGGTTTTCCCCCAACCGGCACTAGCCAATTCTCCCCCACCGCCCTTGGTGCCCCCTTACTCCCCCCGGCCCGCAACCCTAGAAACGGGTGCATCTCAACCGGCGTCGGCCTCTCACGTGCTTTCAGACAGAACATGTGAACATGACCCAACATCCCACAAAACGAACAATGTTTGTGCAGCCGCTCATACCGAAAAGTTATCCAACTTACCGATTTATCGCGTTTCACCAACTTCATACCACGCCTCAACGGCTTCCCAACCGCAATAGCTACACGGACTCGGTAGAATGTAAGCCATGGTGCCCCCGCAAACCTCTCATCATGTTTCACAAACTTGCCCATAAAATTCCCTGCCTGCTCAAGTACTGTATCCGACGTATATCCCATCGGCAATCCATGCAACTGAACCCACATATCAATTGTATTCAGATCCACCTCCCCCGGCACTGCTCGGGCCACCACCTCACGGCAAACCAAAGTATTATTCTCGAAACCCCATGGACCCCCATCCAAGACGTAATCTATGTCCGTCCTATGATAAAAGACAAACAAGAAAAGTCCCGGTTGAATCTCCGTAACCTGCACCCCCCTCACCGGTTGCTATACGGATGCCATAACTTGCTTCATAAATTCCAATTTTACCAGCTTCGTAGTAAGGAACCTGCCAACAACAGCCCATGTCTCATCATCATCAACCTGGAGTTCCCCGACTCCAACCCCCTCCGGCACGAACTCATCCTGCTCATCCTCCAAATCAAACCCCTCCCACCGTGCTGTCAACCGTTCGACGTCGCTGTTCTCCCCCGCCATGTCTGCCGCGCGTCCGTCTGCCATGCTTCACGTCAGTAACAGCCAGCACGCTCCTCGCCACTGGAAACCGACAGCTCTTGCCGTAGAAACGATCGGAAAAGTCAAAAAACTAGGTTTCCCTAGAGAGAATTCTGAAACCCTAGTTTTACCCTAGAGAGAGATATAATTTCTCATAATAATAATAACAAATATTAAAAAGAATTAGTTCTTCACACAATAATGAATTCAATGTATTAAAATTATGAAACTAATTTATTCATCTCAACAACAAGCTAATTTTTACATTATTATTTTTAAATTTAATGTTTATTAAATAAATATTTAAATAAAAGACCAAATTAAGAACAAAATCAATAGTCAAAAGACCATTTATGATCATATTAAAAGTCGATGACGAAAATTGATAAAGATCAATAGTCAATAGATCATTTATATGATTCAATTAAAAGTCAAATAATAAAATTGGTAAATGTGAATAATAGAATATTCTTGTAATTAACTCTTATATTAAACTAAGGAATAAAATTTACCGTGTTTTTCTCTCGCTAAGCTTCGCGAGTTCTCTCTAACCTTACCTCTTTAGGGTTCCGGTAGCGTTTTTCACCATGGCTGCGGGTGACGGAGTCAGTATAGCGGACCTATGTGCGAATCTAACACTTGCGGATGTAGATGATGAGGACACGGCTTTGCAGGTGCCGAATGTCCAAGTCGTGCGGGAAGCCCAGGGCGCAAGCTATTACGCGGTTGGAAGGCTGATCACAAATAAGCAGGTTAAGTTCTTGTTTTTCCAGGACACAATGGCGTCAGTTTGGCAGCCACAACGCTTCCTAATTCGGTTCTATCACGAGACGGATTTGGTAAGGGTTTTGAGGGATGGTCCTTGGACGTATGAGCAGAATTTGCTTGTGATGAAGAAGGTTGAACCTGAGGAGGATCCAGAAACAACGCCACTGAATCATGCAGAATTCTGGATTCAGATACATGCTTTGCCGGCCGGTCTCCGGTCGAGTGCGGTGGTCTCTGCGATTGGCTCTTTTCTGGGCACGTTGATTACAACTGATGACAAGAATTTTGGGGGTTCTATGCGAACATATTACCGAGTTCGAGTAGCTATTGACATCACCAAGCCACTTAAAAAACAGATGAAGCTGAAGAAAGACAATGGAACATGGGCGATTGTTGATTTCAGGTACGAGCGATTACCAACATTTTGTTTTCTTTGTGGGGTGATCGGACATGGGGATAGGGTCTATCCAAGGATAGCACATGGGGCTGACGTGAATGCTCAGAAACCGTTTAATGCGGGGCTGCGAGCAGGTGCACGACGGACTGCTCCCCTGGCAGGCCAGCGCTGGGTAGCACCGGAGTTGGATGAGGACAGAAGGGGTTGGGTAGCTCCTGGAATGTTGGCAGGACAGCTGGAACAAACTGTGGTGGACGGTCCAGACTTGGCAGCTTCTGATGCAAAACGGAAGCGTGTTGAGGGGGATGGGCAGGCAGATGTGATCACAACTGATGCAATGGAAACTGAGAATACAGTGACAAAAAACGGCCGGGAGGTGGGTCTTGCGACGCAAGCCCGCCGAGGATTATGAGTCTAATGGCATGGAATTGCCGGGGGCTTGGCAACCAAACGGCAGTTCAGGTACTGGCGGACTTAGTTCGCACGAAGCGGCTAAAGGTGATTTTTTTGATGGAGACGTTTGTGGATACTCAGAGGATGGAGGTTGTGCGGGTCCAATTGGGATATGACAATGTGTTCGTGGTAGATGCGGTTGGACATAGTGGGGGTCTTGCAATGATGTGGTTGAACTCGGTGGATCTCCAGGTAACGGCTTATTGTGATAATTACATTGATACTACTGTATGTTTAGATGTTGGTAGCCCGGTGTGGCGTTATACGGGGTTTTATGGTTTTTCACAAAGAACAAGGAGACGGGAATCATGGCAATTATTGCGCCAGCTTGCAGGTTTGAGTACTATGCCCTGGGTTGTGATGGGAGATTATAATGATCTCATGAACCAAACAGAAAAACGGGGGCGGGCCCCACACCCCCATGGTTGATTAATTGTTTCTGTGAAGCGGTTGCAGATTGTGGGTTACAGGATTTCCCGTTTGAGGGCTACCAGTTTACATGGAAAAGGCGCAGGGGAACGAGTAATATGGTGGAGGAGAAGTTGGACAGGATACTAGTTTCGGATAGTTGGTTGTCTATATTTGAGGGGGCAACAGCTATGTCGATGACTTGTCCGTACAGTGATCACATGCCGATACTACTAATACCAGTGGCTGTGGTTCAAACTACATGATGTAGGAGGTTTCTGTTTGATAATATGTGGCTACGGGAGGAGATGTGTAGAGAGATTGTGGCTCAGAGTTGGGGCCGTACGGCGGGTCTTGAAGTGTTGGAATGGATTGAGTCTTGCGGAAGGGATTTATGGCGCTGGGGGAGGTCCTATAATAAGGACTTTCAGCGGCGTATTGATTTATGCAGGCGGGATATGGAGATTTGGAGGCCACGGGATGATGATGAAAGTCTAGTTGCATATGCTAATGCTGAACGGGAGATGCTATTTTTGCTGAATCAACAACACCTCTACTGGAAACAAAGGGCAAAGGAACATTGGTATAAGGATGGGGATTTAAATAGTAAGTTTTTTCACAACTAGGTGAAAACAAGGAAACGGCGGAATAGGATTATTAAGTTGAAGGATGATGATGGGAACTGGGTACGGACTAAGGATGAGATTGGCAATGTGATGCAAGAGTACTTCGGGAAGTTGTTTGAGTCTGAGCAGGGGGAGATGTCTGAAATCATTAATGCAATACAACCAAAAATTAGTGCCCAGCAGAATACCTGGTTATTGCGCCCTGTGAGCATGGATGAGGTGAGAAAGGCCGTTTTTCAAATGCATCCAGATAAGTCACCGGGGCCAGATGGGTTGGGCCCGGGTTTTTTCCAGCATTACTGGGATATTGTAGGAGACGCAGTAACTGGTTTTTGTAGAGATTATTTCCAGAATACTGCTTTACCGGAGAAGGCAAACGATACGTATGTCGTCCTGATCCCAAAGAAACCAGTACCGGAGTCGATGAAGGACCTGCGCCCGATAGCGCTTTGTAACGTAGTGTACAAGATAGCGGCCAAGGTTTGTGCTAACCGGTTGAAACCATTACTGGAGGGGATTATATCGCATGCACAGAGTGCGTTTGTGCCGGGACGTTTAATCACTGATAACATAATGCTAGCATATGAAGCTCACCATTATCTCCGGCGGAAGACACAGGGGAAGGAGGGGGTGGTAGCTTTAAAAGTTGACATGAGTAAAGCATATGATCGTGTCGAATGGGCTTTTCTTGAGGCGGTAATGCTGAAGATGGGTTTTGGAAGGAAATGGGTTGATATTCTGATGGAGTCTGTCCGAACTGTCAGGTATCACATTCTGTATGAGCAGCGGCAGCTGGGGCCTATCTTGCCGGGGCGGGGGTTACGTCAGGGTGATCCATTATCACCTTATCTGTTCCTGCTGGTGGTGGAAGGGCTGAGTGTTATGATAGACAGATATATGAGTATGGGCCGTTTGCATGGTATCCGAGTTGCTCGGGGAGCGCCACCGATATCTCATTTGCTTTTTGCGGATGATTGCTTCCTGTTTCTGCGGGCAAATGAGGATGAGACTGCATGTATGAGATATGTGCTGGACACCTATTCAAAAGCATCCGGACAGAAGATTAATTTTGAAAAATCCGTGGTATGCTTTTCCAGCAATGTTAAACCTGCCCACCGGAGTATGGTTACTCAGATGTTGGGGGTAATCGAAGGGGATACAGCGGGGAAATATCTAGGGCTGCCGTCAATAGTGGGACGAAGGAAAAAACAGATATTGGGGTTTCTGAAGGACAGGATTCTGGCCAAGGTGAGAACATGGAATGCAAGGTTCTTGTCGAAGGCTGGGAGGGAGGTGCTGCTTAAGAATGTCATTCAGGCAATGCCTAGCTATGCGATGATGGTTTTCCTGCTACCAAGGGGAACCTGTAAGGACATTGAGACATTGATGAATGAGTACTGGTGGACGGGAACTGTGGGGAGTGGAAAAGGCATACGATGGAGATCTTGGCAGGGTTTAACAGCCCCGAAAGCAGTTGGGGGAATGGGTTTTCGTTCTTTGCATGAGACAAATTTGGCACTACTGGGGAAACAGGCGTGGAGGTTGGTCACAAGACCAAACTCAATAGTGGCCCGGGTTTACAAAGCACGGTATTATCCGAATAGCACCTACGAACAGGCGGTGGAAGGCAGCAACCCATCTTTCATTTGGAGGGGTTTGCTTGAGGTCCAGCGAGTGATTCGGGATGGGTGCAGGAGGAGTATTGGAGATGGCCACGATACGGTGATTGGTAAGCATGCATGGTTACCATGTGTGGATGAGCCTTTCATCACTACACCAGTAGATGAGGAGACCTTTAACTCACCAGTGTCTTCTTTGTTTGATGCTAAAAATACAGGTTGGGATGTGCAACGGGTGCGGAGTGTCTTTAACGCCCGGGATGCCAGCTTGATTCTGAACATACCAATTTCTGTGCGAAGGCCAAGGGATTCATGGTACTGGTATTGGGAAGAGAGGGGTGAATATTCTGTAAAGTCGTGTTACAGACGGTTGAAGGGTGAGATGTTGGATGCCCGGCCGTGGTCTCGGATTTGGAGCTTACAAGTACCGCCAAAGGTCAAGCACTTTTGCTGGCAGTTGGCTTCCTCTTTTTTGCTTACTAATGATGCTCTACGGGCAAAGAATATTCACTGCGCTTTGATGTGTCACATGTGCAGGAGGGTCACTGAGAGTGCTTATCATATGTTTGTGGAATGCAGCGCAATGGCACGTGTCTGGACTCTTGCGGGTGTGCCGACAGTGGGGGATGCTCTTGGTAATGTAATTGATTGGTTTTTTGTTTTACTGTCTCGTTTGCATGGTGATCTAGTGGCAAAGTTTGCTATGATCTGTTGGGGTGTGTGGTAGATCCGTAATGAATGTGTCTGGAACAGTATTGCTTTTAATGTGGAATTGGTGATTCACCGGGCACTCAGTTTCTGGTCTAGTTGGATGAGTGTGAATACCCACGGCCAGGCAGAACAAACAGCAGCAGGGGATGAAGGCTGGAAACGGCCTGAGGCGGGACGTATTAAACTTAACATGGATGCTTCTGTGTTACCGAACTCCAACTCTATGGGGTTGGGGTGGGTGCTGAGAGATCATTCAGGCTTATTTTTAGCTGCGAAGAATGTGTACTTGGAAGGGATATATACAGTAAATGAGGCAGAGACAATATGCTTGAGGGAGGCACTGAGCTGGTTGAAGGACACATGTATGGGAAGTGTGGATGTGGAGATGGATTCACAGAATGTATTTTATTCTCTACAGGCAACTTCTTTTGATTCTACTTTCGGTTGTTTAGTAGATGATGTTAAAGAATTAGCATCTATGATAGATGATGTTAGATTCTATTTTGTTAAACGATCTGCGAACTATGTCGCTCATACGATTGCTAGAGAGGTATGTTCTACTGCAGGTTGTGGAGAGTGGTTTGATATCCCACCTCCTTTTCTTGTACCGCACCTATCACGTGATTTAATGCATTAATCTTTTCTTCTCAAAAAAAACTCTTATATTAAACTACAACTTCAACAGTTATGTGTAGCTGCGGAGCTTGTCACCGACTCTTATCCAAAATAATTTTGAATAAAATATTTTAAACATTGAATATGGAAGACATGTATCTTGTATATGGGTGGCCTGGCTATTGGCTACGTTGATTAAAGCAGTTAATTAGTTGATGTTGAACCTTAATCCTTGCAAACCATGCAGGGCGGTGACAATATAATGCAATTCCCTTGTATTCCCGGTAGGTTGCTTTCAATCTGACATGTCCGGTCTGGACACTTTGAGCATTCAATTCTGGCCACGACACCAACATTAATGAAATAGCTAGGCCGGACAACTTCTCAGTAACCTGATCCGTGTCAGCCATTGCTCAATCACACCCTCTACGTGACTCAATAACTTAATTAATATTCGAACTGTTCTTTTAATTTGAATAATTTCATATATATAATTTGAATATTAAAAATATAAAGTATCTCAAAATAAATAAAATTTATATTTACTACATGATAGATTTACTACATATAAGAAAATTTTTACATTCAAATTCGACTCAGACGAATTAAATAAAAGTGAGTACCCAGGTTGTAAATGCAAACTGTCATCTCTAGCTAGTAGTAATGCTCCGGCCATATGCCCATACAGTCTCAGTTAATAGGATAACATGCCCACAACCATGGTCATGTTATCTTAATTGATCATGCAATCTGTCCTGCAAGGGAATTAAATTCCAATCAATACACATACTTGAATTGGTACAAGCTAAGACTGATCTTTCACATTATATTATAAACTTGTGCAGTTACGCAAAATATTGACATGTATATAGTGTCACGTTCCTGCAGTGCGGACATTGCTTCCCGTGCGTTCACTCACTAATGCACAACACTGCACCATATTTAATTGTGCATTTCTGAACACTTTGTGATGCATTTATGCGTACCTAATAGTGAGTGAACATACATGAAGCATTGTTCGCACATAAACCTCACACGCACACTCTCTCTCCATATATATATATATATATATATATATATATATATATATATATATATATATATATATATATAATGAGACACCGTACTTTAAAAATAAATGTGTAAATGAATTAGATAAGAGTCAATTAATCTATTTCACTAGATATATGAGTTTGCAAAGAAACAATATCAATCATTACATACGAGTTTCAAAAGTTATAAATTGAGATTATTTTATGTATGGTAAGAAAAATATTAAAGGAACCAAAATGTGCATTATTGTCGAAAACGGAGATGGAGATGCCGTTAAAAGTCAAATTTAGGTTACTTATTAGAGACGACGTTGAATGAATAGTTTATGCTACTTAAGCTAAAAGAACGTTAGCCAAAACTCAAAGAATTGAAAGGGCCGAGGTTCATTTCCCAGTCAAATCTGAGATTTTCAGAGACGAGCGAAAACAAAAAGGAAAAACGAGAGAGCATATTTGACAAAAACGGAGTGTTTGGTAAAGAAGATAACAGAAGCTACCTAACCGATCCGACGATCGAGATCGATCGTTCCGCATTTTACCCCAAAGTTTTCAATCCATTTGACAATTTTGTCAATTTTTTTGTAAGCAATACTAATACGTACCCTAATTTTATCATCAAGCACATGAAATGCCAATAGAAGCTGCCGTGAACCGCTCGGAGGCCGTTCGCCGCACCAATGACTTCATCTCCGGCGAGAGGATATCAGACTCCGGTACTTCCGGAATCGTGGAGAGCGCCTCGCCGGACTTATCATAGACGACGTAGAATGATCCGCCGCGAGACGGCTCTGGAACACGGAAGAGATGTTTTATGCCGCCGCCGCTACTAGTTTGTTTGGGGCGGAACACGGATTTGAGCAGCTTCTGGAGCGACCGAGAAATCCTGGACGAAGACGAAGGCGATCGCTTAGGCTGAGAAGGGGGCGGAGGCGGTTGGAGATCATGAACGATCCGACGGTCGGATAAATGCGGCATCGAGAGGCTTCTAGAAGCCAAAGCCGAGTCGAGCTGGCGCTCGAATGACTTCAGCTCGAACGAGTCGTAGAGAGAGCTTCCGCAGTCCCATATTACCGGCTTCGTCGCCGCGTCTTCGTCGTCGGCTGGCTTCCCTTTTGCCGGCGTCTGAGCAGTTTTATTTTTATCCATGTTTGATCGAAATGGAGTAGAAATGAGGTAGTTATATATTAGACGAGGAAGGGGTAAAATTGTAACTTCGTGTCGGATTTCCTGAAAAAATACACTCCCCATATACGTTAGTGGCGTGTGAGATTTGAGTACGTGTACTGGGTTTGACCAATAAGCCCAAAGGAAAGTTTTTTCACGGTTTCAAAGATGGAAACCACAGGATCCCACTGGAGGAAAACTGTTCCGCATTTATGAGAGCTCCATGTATGCTTGGCCATCAAGTCTTTTACGTAGCAACTCATTCTCATGTAAAATTCATCTTAAATATTCCATCTGTCTCATTGTATGTATCTAGTTTGATTAATGAGACTTGACCGGAGTTATTTTTAATTTAATTTTTTCATAATATTAAGTTCAGTATTAGCATACAAAATTTGTATATCTACAAATATGAAGCATAATTATTTTGATAAAATAATTCGAATATAAAACAGATTATAAATCATGCACACATATATCTCATTAGTATTAATATATATAAAAGAAGGATAATTATTGGATATGAGCAAAAAATAAAATATATCACAACATTGTAAAAAAGTTTTCATAACAAATAAAATTACAGGACACAATAAAAAGTAAGTAAATTTGAACACTTTACCATTCTTAAGTTAAATGTATAATTTACCAATTAGCGTAACTCATCTTTTATTTACTTCTATTTATATTGTTTTAATTATACTCTCTCTCTCTCTAATATATATATATATATATATATATATATATATATATATATATATATATATATATATATATATATATATATATATATATATATATATATATGTGTGTGTGTGTGTGTGTGTGTGTGTGTGTGTGTGTGTGTGTGTGTGTTGGATCATATGAGAACAAGTCTTTAGGAGAAAATTAAGAACCAATCTCAGCCATATATCTCGAAAAAACGGACGGATCAGATCAAATTTTAGAAAAATGTAGTGGCATTTTTATAATTATCACCAACCTTAAAATGCAACCTTGAACACTGAAATTTGCACTTACAAGATTTTTTCAGGTTTGTACATTGAGTATTAACATATTGCACATTTAGTATTAAAAGATTGCACTTGCAAAAATGCGAATTGAAAGTGCATTGCATTTAGGGTATTGATTTTAGAGTTTATGACTGAATTTTTTGTTTTATTTAGTTTTGATGGATATATTATACCCACGACCCGACCCGGGGTAGCAACATGGACCCGGAGCACCTTGGTGGAGCCCGAGAGCAACACGGACCCTGGGGACCACGGAGGTGCCTAAGAGCAACACGGACCCGGGGGACCACGGAGGTGCCCAAGAGCAACACGGACCCGGGGGACCACGGAGGTGCCCAAGAGCAACACGGACCCGGGGGACCACGGAGGTGCCTAAGAGCAACACAGACCCGGGGGACCACGGAAGTGCCCAAGAGCAGCACGGAGCCGAGGGACCACGGAGGTGCCCAAGAGCAACACGGACCCGGGGGACCACGGAGGTGCCCAAGAGCAACACGGACCCGGGGACCATGGAGGTGCCCAAGCGCAACGCGGACCCGGAGCACCATGGAGGTGCCCCGACCCGAGCCGACCTACGTGGAGCTCAAGTCGGGGAGCTCGGTCCCACCCGAGATCGGGACCCGACCCGACTCGGTCCACCCGGGCCCGGTCAAAGCTGAGATCTAACCACCCCTCGATTTATGGGGAGGCGGTTGGGGGGTTTGCTTGTATAAAACCCCCCCTCCTTGTCCTAACAAAGGGCAATTCATTCCACATTATACGATTATTACACACTTTTGTCCTACCGAATCTTTGTAATAGCCAAACACTACGGCAATTAATATAATATACGGTCCACCGCGACCTTTACGACATCGTTTCATATTTCGTTTATTATTCTTATTATATATTCTTATCCGGGTTTATTGATTCGGGTCCACCCCGGATTAATTAAATCCATTATTGGTGCTCTTGTTGAGAGCTGCTGTACAAGCTTAAGCGCTCTCCCCACTATTGTTCATCGACAGCGATGTCACGATCGAGATCCAACTCTCGTCATACCAATGGTTCCCGCGGCACCCAGCTCGTCGCGAACGGGAACGGCCCCAACGGGGCCCCCGCCCCCAGCATCCAACCGGCCGCCTCCACCAGGTCGGGGGAGGATCTGAGGGCCCAGCTCACCAACCACCGTAGCAGTGGTGCGCCGCCACCACCCCCCGTCGCCCCCGCTCCGGCTCGCGCACTCATCCGGAAAGGGGTGGCGGTCTTCGAACAAGCCTCCACCGCGCTGGCGCGCGTCGCAGCGGGCCTCCAGGCAGAGGAACAAGCCGCCCTAGGCGCCACCGGCGGGGCGCCGGCGTCGCCTCCGCCTCCTCCCACCCGCGGGGGCGCAATGGCTCGAGCACCCGACCGCCCCCGGCACCTGTCACCCAGGGGGAGGTCAACTCGCCTCGACCATCGGAGAGGCGGGGAAGAGGGGACTCCCGCCGAGACCGCCAGCGTGACGACGATGGAAGGGCACCAACCCAACCCACACCGACGTGAGTACGCTGAGGGGCCCAGGATGAACCCCACACGCTATCTCACCCCGTTGACACAACCCGTGGGTACTATCTTGGCGCACGCGGAGGACCAGGGAATCGTGGTATTCCCGAAGGAGGAGTGCATGAAGATATCGGCGAGGGGGGGACCCCAACAAGTACTGCAGGTTCCACCGGCAGAAAGGACACGATACAGACGAATGCATCCTCCTAAAAAGACAAATCGAGCAGCTCATCCAAATGGGCTACCTCGGCCAATTCATTAAGAAGCCCGGCCAGGCGCAGGAACAGGCCCCAGCGCCAGAAGCAGAGCAATGTATGGCGGAAGGGGGGTGGCCAGGCGCCATCCACCTCGGCTCCCCCCCGCAAGAGGGACCACCACGACCACAGTTCCGAGGAGGAGCAGAAGACGACGGAGGACTCCCAGCCCCCGAAGAAACGGGCCATCTACGTCATCTTTGGGGGGCCCGAGGGAGGGGACTCGCCAGCCGAGCGGAAGAGGTGGGCGAGGAGCTTGTACGTAAGGGAGGTCACACGTACCCCCCACGAGAAGAAACCAAAGAGGGAGCCCATCACGTTCACCGACGCAGACCTGCCAGATGGGCCCCTCCCCCACCGAGACGCCCTGGTGGTCAAGCTGGACATCAACAACGTGGTGGTGCACCGGGTACTCGTAGACACGGGTAGCTCGGTGAACGTCATGTACTACAACACGTTCACCCAGCTGAGACTCTCAAGAGGGCAGCTAGAGCAGGTACGCGCCCCCCTGTCCGCGTTCACGAGGGACTCAATTGAGACGGAGGGGTCGATCAGTATGGAGGTAGAGATAGGCACCCCACCTCACACCAGGAGGTGGGAGGTCGAGTTCGTAGTCGTGAAAATCAGATGCGCCCACAACATAATACTCGGCCGACCCGCCCTGGAGGACCTCAGGTGCGTAATTTCCATGGAGCACCTGTGTCTCAAGTTCCCGACACCGACCGGGGTCGGGGTCGCCCGGGGGGGCCAAAAGGTAAGCCGCAGCTGCTACTTGAAGGCGTGCCGCCAGATTGGTCAAAAGGACCTCAAGGTACATACCATCGCCGAGAAGGCATTTCGGGAGGTGGTAGGTCGACCTCGGGCCGAGCCCGTAGTTGAGACAGAGGAGGTCATCCTCGACCTCAGCCGACCCGACCGGGTTGTGAAGGTAGGGGTCAGCCTCCCGGCCGAGCTCCGGGCACGGATAATCAACGCCATCAGGAGCTACAAGGAGGTCTTTGCATGGGGTCCCGAGGACATGCCGGGCCTCAGCCGAGACGTGATCACACACAAGTTGGCCGTCGACCCCGCGGTCAGGCCAATCCAGCAACGCAAAAGGTACCTCTCCGCAAAAGGTACCTCTCCGTCAAAAAGGAGGTCGACACACTGCTGGAGATTGGTCATGTTAGGGAGGTCATATACCCCACCTGGCTGGCCAACGTAGTCCTCGCCCCAAAGCCGCCCACCTGGAGGATGTGCGTGGACTACACCGACCTCAACAAGGCCTGCCCTATGGACCCCTTTCCCCTCCCCAACATCGATCAGCTGGTGGACGAGACTGCAGGTTGTGCCCTTATGAGCTTCCTAGATGCGTTCAGGGGGTACCACCAAATTTTCATGGAGGAGGCTGACGAGGAGAAGACAGCCTTCACCACGCCAGATGGGGTCTATTGCTACAAGGTTATGGCTTTCGGACTGAAAAATTCAGGTGCCACCTACACCGGAATGGTGGCCAAGGTGTTCAAGCAGGTCCTCGGTCGCAACCTCCAGGCCTACGTCGACGACATGATCGTCAAGAGCACCGACGCCGACCTCCACACAGATGACCTTACCGAGGTATTTTCAATTATGCAACGCTTCAATTTACGGTTGAACCCCAAAAAGTGCACCTTCGGGGTGCATGGGGGGAAATTTTTGGGGTACATGGTCTCGAAGAGGGGCATTGAGCCCAACCCTGACAAGGTCAAGGCCATCCTGGACATGGAACCTCCGAGGTCCCTCCGGGAGGTCCAGCGCCTCAACGGGCGGTTGGCAGCCCTGGGCCGTTTCCTTTCGAGGTCGGCCGAGAAGTCCTTGCCGTTCTTTGGAGTCCTAAAAAAGACTAAGGGCTTCAAATGGTCCGAGGAGTGCCAGAAGGCGTTCGAGGACCTCAAGACGTACCTGATGTCGCTCCCCCCCCCTGGCCAAACCCGTTAAGGGGGAGGTCCTATATCTGTACTTGGGCATCTCGCAGGCCGCGGTCAGCTCCGTGCTGGTCCGGGACGACGAGGGGGTCCAGCGGCCTGTATACTACACGAGCCGAGCTCTACGGGGAGCAGAGATCAGGTACACACCCGTGGAAAAGGCCATTTTTGCAGTAGATGCGACGGCAAAGAAGCTGAACCACTACTTCCAGGCCCACCCCGTGCAGGTCCTCACCAACCAGCCACTAGACGCAGTACTGAGGGCCTCGGGGTCGGCAAGCAGGCTGGTCAGGTGGGCCATGCGGCTGAGCCAGTTTGACATCCAGTTCAAGCCCCGACCCGCCATCAAGGGGCAGGCGCTGGCTGACTTTATAGTCGAGTGCACTGCCCGGGAGGCAACGGAGCGGGTCAGGGACGAAGACGGGGAGTGGTGGACCCTCTCAACGGACGGGTCCTCCAGCACCAAAAGCTGCGGGGGTGGAGTCGTCCTCATAACACCGGAGGGGTTTCGGGCCTACTACGCCCTCCGCTTCGCGTTCAAATTATCCAACAACGAGGCCGAGTATGAAGCACTCCTGGGAGGGCTCCGCCTCGCACTAAATATGAGGGTGGAGAAACTCAAAATCCGATGTGACTCTAGACTCGTGGTGGGACAGGTCACAGGCGAATTTGAAGCAAGTGATGAAAGAATGAGGAGGTACCGGGACGTGGTGCTCCAGCTACTGGGGCAGCTGATCAATTATGAGGTCCTACAGGTACCCCGAGACCAGAACACAGATGCTGACATGTTATCCAAGCTCGCCCAAGGGGCCCCGGAACATATATCAAAAATAGCCCGAATTGAAGACTTCAAGAGGTCGAGCCTGGACGCCTACCCGGTCCTACCCGTGCAAATCCGACCTCCCTGCTGGTTGGACCACCTCAAGGAGTACAAGAAGATAGGCACGCTACCTCCCGACAAGGTCGACGCTAAGCTAGTGAAACAGCGAGCCCCCACGTACGTGGTCATGGGGGACACACTCTACAAGAGGTCCTATAACGGCGCCTTGCTGCGCTGCTTGTACCCAGACGAAGCCAGGTCAGTCATGGAAGAAATCCACGAAGGGACCTGTTCAGCCCACCAGGGGGCCTTCGCCATGTCCTGGAGGGCCATCTTACAGGGGTACTTTTGGCCTAAAATGGCCAAGGAGTGCGCCGACTATGCCCGGGGTTGCGAGACCTGCCAACACTTCCAAGTCACCACCGGCCGGCCAGCCACGAGCTACACCCCCATCAGCTCGGTCATCCCCTTCTCCAGGTGGAGAGTGGACCTAGTGGGAGCTCTGCCCATGGGGTCGGGAAAAAGGAAGTACCTCATAGTAGCAGTGGACTACTTCACTAAGTGGGTAGAGGCGGAACCGCTGGCAACCATAACAAGTGCCTGTTGCAAGCACTTTGTGTACAAAAATATTTTGTGCCGTTTTGGGGTCCCGATGCAACTCATCACCGACAACGGACGCCAATTCGAGGGGCAAGAGTTCAAGGGGTTCTGTACAGAATGGCACATTACTCACAGCCGGGTAGCAGTGTGCTACCCTCAAGCAAATGGCCAGGTGGAAAATGCCAACCGCACCATTGTGGGCGGCCTGAAAAAGAAACTGGAATCCACGGGGGGAGCGTGGGTGGAGGAGCTCGATGCCATTCTTTGGGCCTACCGCACCACCCCCCGGAGGGCTACTGGGGAGACACCTTTTTCCTTAGCCTACGGTTTCGAAGCTCGAGCTCCAGCGGAGGTAGTCATACCTTCCCGGCGGGAGGAGGACTGCGACCCTGACACGAACGAGGAACACCATAGAATTGACCTCCACATGATTGATGACAGGCGCGAAGCAGCCGCGATTCGAGCTGAAAACTACCAGAGGCAGACCAAGTCATACCACGATAAGCGGGTCCGACCCCGCTATTTCCAAGTAGGTGACTATGTGCTCAGGAGAAGGGAGGCGAGCCAGCCCCAAGCCGGAGGAAAGTTTGCCCCTAATTGGGAGGGCCCGTACATTATAGCAGCCGTGGTCCGCCCGGGCAGCTACAAGCTCAAAACTCACAAAGGAAAGATGATGATAGCCAGGGTCTGGAACTCAGAACACCTGCTGAAATTTTACCAGTAGACCTACCACGTGAGAGGTGGGTCTTGGCGTTGCTATTCTAGGAGGAGGACCATTCCCCTCCCCTAATAATGTCTTAGTGAGCGGCAATAGTCGGAATAAAATCGCATATTACAGAACACATTGTGCGCATGACCTTTTTGTTACAAAGTTGGTTCTCATGCATTTTATCTCCCTTAAAAAATAAAAAAGGAAAAAAATCATGAAACAGGGGGGGAACGAGTGCTCACTCATGTCTTCTCCCCCCCCCCCCCCCCCCCCCCGTGGACCCTAAGGGGGCACGAGGTCCGGCCTCGCGTACTAACCCCGACGGAGGACGCACCCTAAGGGGGCACGAGGGACGACCTCGCGTACCAACCCCGACGGAAGAGCCCGGTGGCACAGTCCCGTCGGACTGTGCCCGAGCAGCTAACGCGCACCCTAAGGGGGCACGAGGTCTAACCTCGCGTACAAACCCCGACGAAGGAGCCCGGTGGTTTGGTCCGGCAGGACTGGGCCCAAGCGGTTTGGCGCACCCTAAGAGGGCACGAGGTCCGACCTCGCGTACAAACCCCAACGGAAGAGCCCGGTGGCGTGGTCCAGAAGGACTTAGCCCGAGAGGCTAACGTACCCTAAGGGAGCACGAGGTCCGGCCTCGCGTACTAACCCCGACGGGAGAGTCCGATGACATAGTCTCGTAGGACTTTGTTGAAGAGGCTAACACATGGCAAAAAAAAAAAAAAAAAAAAAAAAAAAAAAACAGGTCCCAGCTCGGGGTGCTGCCGAGGTCGACCTCGGCTGGTGCCGAGGTGGCCAAAAAAAAAAAAAAAAAGTATTTCAAAGGGGGGCAATAGCAAGTAAGAGGTGGCACCTATCACCGAGGCAAAGGCGCAACAGTCATAACATCCAAGTGTGACACATAGCAAAAAGAAGAAATAAGTTCATACTAGCTAGAAGCAGTCGAAATAGCAAGTCTAACGTATCAAAAGCAGCAAGTGTTGGCCTCATGGGCTAAAAAAACACCAAAACAAGGAATCAAAGCAAATCTAAGTGCTCGCATCCGGGCCACCGCGGGCAGCATCACTGGCCTAGCACTCCGCAGCGTACTCCTCCAAGGAGGTCAGTGAAAATTTGGAGCTCGGGATTTTCCACCCAGGGGGCTCGGGTCGGCGTACGGATACTCTCATTCGTTGACTTCCACTCGCAACGAAGAGAGTGGGGGACTCATGATGGATATATTATACCCACGACCCGACCCGGGGTAGCAACATGGACCCGGAGCACCTTGGTGGAGCCCGAGAGCAAAACGGACCCTGGGGACCACGGAGGTGCCTAAGAGCAACACGGACCCGGGGAACCACGGAGGTGCCCAAGAGCAACACGGACCCTGGGGACCACGGAGGTGCCCAAGAGCAACACGGACCCGGGGGATCACGGAGGTGCCTAAGAGCAACACGGACCCGGGGGACCACGGAAGTGCCCAAGAGCAGCACGGAGCCGGGGGACCACGGAGGTGCCCAAGAGCAACACGGACCCGGGGGACCACGGAGGTGCCCAAGAGCAACACGGACCCGGGGGACCATGGAGGTGCCCAAGCGCAACGCGGACCCGGAGCACCATGGAGGTGCCCCGACGCGAGCCGACCTACGTGGAGCTCAGGTCGGGGAGCTCGGTCCCACCCGAGCTCGGGACCTGACCCGACCCGGTCCACCCGGGCCCGGTCAAAGCTGAGATCTAACCACCCCCCGATTTAGGGGGAGGCGGTTGGGGGGTTTGCTTGTATAAACCCCCCCCCCCCCCCCTCCTTGTCCTAACAAAGGGCAATTCATTCCACATTATACGATTATTACACACTTTTGTCCTACCGAATCTTTGTAATAGCCAAACACTACGGCAATTAATATAATATACGGTCCACCGCGACCTTTACGACATCGTTTCATATTTCGTTTATTATTCTTATTATATATTCTTATCCGGGTTTATTGATTCGGGTCCACCCCGGATTAATTAAATCCATTAAGTTTAGTGGGTCATTTTTTCACTGTTTAGGATCTAGCATTTACGATTTAGATTTAAAATTTAGCTTTTTAACGATATATATATATATATATATATATATATATATATATATATATATATATATATATATATATATATATATATATATATATATATATATATATATATATATACTTAGAGCAACCTCAATAGTCTAAGATTTTGCTTGTTTTTTGTTAGTTCTTGTAGGAGAGAGGAGGAGTCGAGGAGGGATGAAGAAAAAAGAAAAGAAAAAAAGAAAGGAAAAAATAATTTGACAAAAGCAAAAAAAAAAAAAAACAAAAAAAAAAACAAGGATTCACGCCCTAGGTTGGGTGCAGAGGTGCACAAAACACGCGGCTTGCGCTTATTTCTTTTAAAAAATTGGTTTTGCGGTGATAAAAACTTAAAAAAAGTATTAAAAAAAAATCAAGGACCTTGTAGTCCAATGGTATTTGGTATATTCTGCAAAAACTTCTAAAGAAATTACAAATATGATTATTCTTAACTAGTGTAATAAACAGGGGCACACTCAAAACTTCTACTAAACAATTGAAACAATATAATCACCCTATTCACTTAAGTCTTTTCATTACTTTACAATGTTAAATCTAATTAATGTTATCATATACGTACACACATGAGGAAAATAATAAAGATATGTTTTCAAGAAACACACTGATTACCTTGTCAAGATGTTTCTCCACCTTGCCTGCTTGATCTTGAAAATATTTTATATGAACATTGTTTTGATCCATCTTATATGTGAAGGGTTGTGTGTAGAACCCCAACCTTAAGGGTCCCCACACCCCAGCCCAACAGAGTATTTTGGGAGGATGTAAATCATGGTGACTCAACTAAACATGAACCATAGAGGCTAGACTGGTGCTCACTGCGCACAAGGAGCCCCCCTCACTGCCGCTGGTGAGACTCGATCTCTGGTCATTATTCCAAAGTTTCACCTCTATGACCAATTAAGCTACCCATGCGGGCATAAATTCTTTACATCATCAACTAAATAACCAAAAACTGGAAAAAAAAAAAAAAAAAAAAAAAAAAAAAAAAAAAAAAGAAACTGAAGAAATTGCATTAAAAACAACCTGACAATCTGTTTCCACATCCACCGCACCCAGTCCTGTATCCCTTAACCAACTCAATGCCTCCCGAATAGATAGCACCTCTGCTTCCCTAACCGCACATAACCCGGGCATTCTTATATTCTTGGCAGCCAGAAAATTTCCAACATCATCACGTAAGACCCATCCAAAACCCATAGCATTATCCTCAACATTTAGCGCAGCATCTGTATTAAGTTTTAGCCTCCCATGTGATGGCCTTGCCCAGCCTTCCACAACATGCGAATCTGAGTGGGCAACACCAGCTGGCAGCTTCTCATTCGCATTTCCCCAACAATCCAGAAACAGCAACGCCCTATGCAACATAGTACACAAATCAAAATCAATACCCTTCCACACACTCTCATTCCTGCTGGTCCACACACCCCAACAAGCCATAACAAACTTTGGTTTTGAACATAAATCTAAAGTGCCCAAGGCCCAAAAAAACCAATCTCCAAGATTATTACCATCGTAGGCACTTACATGCGACATTTCTAGCTTATTCCAAAGCCGAACTGCCTCCCCACACTGGACAAAAAGGTGCATGGCCGACTCCTGAACTTGTCTGCACATATGACAATTCAATAAACAAGCCACATTCTTAGTCATTAACAAGTCACGTGTTGGAAGGAAGTGGGATGCTAACTGCCAACAAAAACTCTTCACCTTTGGAGGGACATGCAAACTCCAAATACTCGCCCAAGGGCGATCACTTGCAGGCACCAAAGTGAGCTGCTTATAACAAGATTTAATCGAATACGCTCCTTTCTGCTCCCATTGCCAAAACCACTGATCACAAGGCTTACGAATACTGAGAGGAATATTCAAAATCAAATTAGCATCACGGGTATTAAATATATCCTTAACACACTCCACATCCCAACCATTACCATGTAAATTCATTAAGGAGGACACCGGGGCCTGATAAACTGTCTGATGCAGCTCCGTTTCTATAAATGGATTTTCATCCACTGGTAGCCAAGGATCCCTGCCAATGATAGTCCCATTACCATCGCCAATTACCCTTCTACATCCCTCCTTCAAGCACTCTTTTACTGCTAACATACCCCGCCATATGTAGGACGGATTGCTCCCCTCCCTGGCATCAAAAAAGTCACAGTCAGGGTAATAGCGTGATTTAAACACACGTGCCACTAGACTCGTGGGGTTGGAAATCAACCTCCAAGCCTGCTTTCCTAGAAGAGCTTTATTCATCTCATGTAGGCGCCTAAACCCCATTCCACCACACGCTTTTGGCCTCGACAAACCCTCCCAAGAACGCCATCAAATTCCACGACCATTACTCACATCACCAGACCACCAGTACTGGTTCAATACTACCTCAATTTCCCGGCAAAGGCCCAAGGGGAGCAGAAACACCATCATAGCATATGCTGGCATTGCCTGCAACACATTTTTCAATAGAACCTCCCTCCCAGCTCTTGATAGGAACTTGGCATTCCAAGAACGAACCCTGGTGAGTATACGATCCTTCAGAAACCCCAGTATAACCTTCTTCCTCCTTCCCACTAGAGAAGGCAAACCCAAGTACTTTCCACTAGTCTCCCCCTCCTCTACGACCAGAACATCAACCACCTCATTCCTTCTACTCTGTGGCACATTAGCACTAAAACATGTAGCAGATTTATCGTAATTAACATGCTGGCCCGAAGCCCTAGCATAAGTATCCAGCACATACCTCATTTGAACGCTCTCTTCTTCATTAGCCAGAAGGAACATGAAGGAGTCATCTGCAAAGAGAAGATGAGACACAGAAGGCGCACCCCTCGCAACCGAAACACCATGCAATCCGCCCGCAACCATACTTCTTTCAATCATGGCACTCAACCCCTCAAATAAAAAAATAAAAAATAAAAAAATTTCTCGTGTAGTAATTGAGTATTTCTTCCCCATATTTTAAATACATTGTTAGCAGTTATTGGTGGTTCTCAACGCTGCACGCTTACTTTCAAGTAGGTCATCCAAATTGTTGTAAATCAATCACGCTTAACCACTAATGGATTTAATTACCCGAGGTAGACCCGAATTACTAAATCCAATAAATGATAAATAGGAAAAGGCAAAGAATGTATATGTCGCGGGGACAAATTTCGTATTGACAGTCTTTTATAGGAAAATTACAAGGAGAATATAGTAACAAGACAAGATGTAGATGTCCTAACAAGACAATGAGATGTCTTTTTATACTAAATAATCTTCCCAACCGACCCCAAGATAATAGGGCGGGCGGTTGGATCTTAGTTGACTGAGTCACGCGGGGACGCCCTGCGTGACCGCCTAACCCCAGCTGGCCGAGGCCGACCGCAACCGGGGTCGACCACGAGGTCGACCCCGGCCGAGGCTGACGCCGAGGTTGACTCCGACCTTGGCCGGTGCTGATGTCGTCCCCAACTGGGGTCCATGTAGTAGACCTCAGCCGAGGTCTACGCCGGGGACCCAGTTGGGGTCTCCCAGGACCTTCGCATCACGCCGCGACCCCCGAGTCGGTTTGCCCCGAGTCCCTTCTCCTAATATATCCATCATGAGTCCCCCACTCTCTGAGTTCCGAGTCTTCGTCAACGAAAGAGAGTAGCTCGAGTCGAATGTCGGCCCCAACCAAGGCTGACGTCGAGGTCGACCCCCACTGGGGTCGCCAAAGTCCCCTCATATCGCACCGCGACCACCTCGGGGCCCTTGGCCCCTTGCACCACACCTTCCCCGGTTAATTTTCCCCGAACCCATTCCTAATATATCCATCAACCACATAATTTTTTGGCTATCTGGTTGTCATATCCTACTTAAAACCAATTGGTGATAAGTAGGTGGATATTAAGCATTTAACCACGTACATCCCTTCATGGTAAGCCACAACGCCACGTCTTGAATTGAGTAAGGGTTGAACTCGGCCAACCCGGTCGACGCCCAACAATCCTCCTCCCAACACATGTGGCAACCTTTGAACACCAAACCCAGTTGCGTAGACCTACGCCCACATTCCATCCGGGATAACCATTTAACCACATCCCTCCATGGTAAGCCACAACGCGATAAGTCAAACACGCTTAATCACAAAATTCTTTGGCTATCTGGTTGTCACATCCTACTTAAAACTAATTGGTGATGAATAGGTGGACACTAATCATTTAACTACATCCCTCCATGGTATGCCACAACATCATGTCTCAAATCGAGAAGGGGCTGAACTCAGCCAATCCAGTCGACGTCCAACAATTATAATATTTAAGGATAGATATACCCAAAAGATTATAATAAAAAAAAAAAACAAACGAATTAATTTGAAAAATTGTCCTACATAACAGATAAAAAGACGATGATTCACTTGTTCATGGGTTTAACTATCAGTAATAGGAATCAAAGTGATTGTTATTGTTTGGTTGACAGGTTTCTAGAACACTACTATGGAATTTGATTACTCCCTTAATTAGAAAACTCATTCCCTAATAAAATAAGGATTTCATTCCATTATTCCCTCTCCTAATTGGTATTTTTATTTTTAAGTTTGGATTAGTGCATTTAGATTTTTGTTTTTATTTTTATTTTTTGTTTATATTGATGCTTTGGATGTCTTTATATTAGAATAAGGGTGTTTTTGGTTCACACATGGGAATCAGAATCAGAATGGGAATCAAATACTTGGTAATGGTAATGAGTTTTGGTGAAAGTATTTTGCATGTTTAGTCTTAGTTAGGGTGGAATTGGAATGATTAACAATTTTGTTGTTTGGTTATGTATGATCATATATATAATGGGAATAAAGGTTTTAAAAATACAAGAACAAAAAATCAAGACAATTTAGGGTGTGTTTGGTTCATGGGTTTAGCTATCAGGAATGGGAATCAAAGTCATTGTTATTGTTTGGTTGATAGGTTTCTAGAGCACTACTATGAGATCATATTTGATTATCCCCTCAATTAAAAAACTCATTCCCTAATAAAATAAGGGTTTCATTCCATTATTGATTGAGCAGTTGCCCGTAGACCACCTAAAAAGGAATATTTATTATTTGATCCATATCTGAAGTCCAATGGGAGCAATTTGACCGGAGTAACTAAAATTGATAAAAATTAATAGTTAAGGTACTATATTGATAATTTTAAAAATTGTGAATTGAAATTAACAAGATCTCAATAGTCATATGATCAAAAGTGAAATTAACTCTAAAATATAACAAAATACTCTTTATACGGGAAGAAAAATAATATATAATTGATATGCGATCTTTGTTGCTTACGAGAATATTATATTTTAATTTTGAGTCAATATTAGAATTAAAGATTAAAATAAGCAAACTGCATAAGAACGTTACGCGTACAATGCATGAGATCAGATGTCCATCGGTGAAGCTTGCTAGCGCTAGCACTGGGTATATCAATAAGAAAATTAACAATAAATAAATTATTACATATCGATAAAATTACGTTATCGCTATCATCATCATCATCATGATCTATACTAATATAATCTATCTACTACATATATTTAGTACAGACAACAAAATGAATTGTAAATTTTAAGCATTCAAAAAAAAAGAATTGTAAATTTTAAAATATCATATCTTGTCTGCTGCTTAGTTATATCTTCTTTGACCTTGTTTATGATGATTCAATAATACTAGGTTTCTTACATATATAATCCAGTGGATTGATCGCACCGTACCACGTCTCTCATACAAATTGATATATAACTAAACAAATATTTTAATTAATTTGTTTCCCATTTGAATATATAATTATATATACACACACGCAATGATTTTTGGAGTACATACTATATTATATTATCAAAGCTTACATTGTAAGTTTGAAGAATATAATGTGAAATTGATATAATAGTATTATGTATTTCTCATTAATACATACATACATACATACATATATATATATATATATATATATATATATATATATATATATATATATATATATATATATTTTTGGTAGGGATATATATATATATATATACATGTTAGAAAAATATACATACACGCAAGGGAGAATCAATCGCTTTTTCTAGATTTTTCGTGAAAAACTGTTTTTCCTATTGCAAAAAAATCTCTTCTTTTCTCTCTTCTCTTTGAAATGGACAAGACAGCCTGAGTTAGGTCAAAATGTGCTAGCCTTTAAAACTCCAAAACTACCCAATATTGATTTAATTCATTAATCAGCTATTAATGTATTAATTCAATTTTAATAACTCATTGATTTTTTTTATAAGTTCTCAGTATTACCACGGACAATTAGTGTGACTTTCTAGGTTCATAGTCAAACTAGCAACGAGTAAAATTTAATAACTCCTTATTAAATAATTCATAAGTCATCAGTGACACTAACAGAATGTCATGACTACCTAGTTGGTAATGAAATACATGTATATATATTATGTTGAACCTTTCCGTTACAAATATCATGCAACATTCCTTCCACACAACACTTGTTCCGAACTAGGTAAATGTCATGGTCAAACCTATAAACTTGATTTAAAATGTCTATTCAAAAGTATTAACCTGAAGTCCAACTTTGTTATACTTTGGCCAGAGATTCTCGTTGTAAGATTATTAAATAGACTAAACAACCTTGTTACCTCAAGGTAGGGGCAGTGTAAATGGGCCAAGCAGCTCGGTCAACTTCGAGCTAGAGCCAAACTCGAGTTCAAATATTTTAGGCTTGTGGCTCGTCGAGCCGCTCCGTTCGAGCTCAAACCTGCTCATTTTGTAACCGAGTCAAGCCGAGCTTCAGTTTTCGAGCTCGAGCTCCACTTGGCTCGTTTGCAGGCCTACCTCAATGCGGTGGACCCTCTATTGAATGCACACATGTCTCCGTACAATACTGAACTATGCCACCAATTACACTTATAGCCCCATAAGGGAACAAAAGACGCATACTGGCAAACACTAGTCCATCATATATACGACACAACTATGCCATCTCAAGTAAAAAGACTATTGCATATTTGTAACATATAACATACCGAAGACCATTGTTACAAAAATCACGCCTAGGCGTCGACCGACTGCTTAGCGTATCATCATAATCGGTAGTCTAGACGACCGACTAGGCCGCCTAGTTGGCCAGTTAGCTATTGGACCTTTAGTTAAAGAATTATTGCGATATCGACATGCATTCATTTTACCTTTTCACTTCAAAATTTGTCCCATTTGCCTCGATCAAATTTCCAATTCTCGCGCTCAAAACATAAAAATGAAAAACTATTAAAAATTAAAATCTTTCCCCGTTCATAATGCCAAGATATTTATAATAAAAAAAAGGTTGAATAAAATGGTGTCACATAAATAAATAAATAAATAATAAAGGGACTCACCAACACTATATGAGACTTATTTTCTTTTACTTATTAATAATGCAAAACATATGATGAGTTATTTTTCTAACTTTCTTGTTTTTAGATTATTAATTGCATGAAACCATTAATTGGTAAAGTAAAAAATGTATCAATGGTAATAAATTCTATTATTTTGTCTTTGAAATATCATAGAGTTCACTCCATAAGTTATAAACGTTTGAAAATTTAGATTATTTTCAGTAATAATACTTTTTTAACCATTAGGTTCGAAGAAGAGGGTTTTAGTCTGTTGTTTTCTCTTTGGCCTGGTGGACCTTAGTCCACCTTGCGAGGTGGATCCAGGTTAAAAAATACACAATTTATATTGAATGTTTATAATTGAGTTAATACCCAAAATTGTCCTCGACTATAGTGGTTTTTCTCAATTTCGTCCTAAACGATTTTGGTAACCTAATATCGTCCCAGACTTTTGTGTTTCGCTCAATTTAGTCCTCCATTTGTTATTCCGTCAAATTGGTGTTAAATAAAGAAACAATTCAATAATGCCAATATTGATCTCTCTTTACTTTCAACTTGTGAAGTGCGAAATTCCTCTTTCTTGTACGAATTACTCCCGGACCTGCAAATCAAATTTTATATTCGCAGTTTTAGGAGTAATTCTGGGAGTAATTCGTAAAAAAAAAGGGATTTTGCAGTTCACATGTCTATGAGTAAAGAGATGCCAATATTAAAATTACTGAATTATCTATTTATTTAACACCAAATGGACAGAATAACAAATGAGGGACTAAATTGAGCAAAAACACAAAAGTCTGGGACTAAATTGAGCGAAACACAAAAGTCTGGGACGGTATTAGGTCACCAAAGTCGATTAGGACGAAATTGAGAAAAACCACTATAGTCGAGGACGATTTTGGGTATTAACTCGTTTATAATTTTATATATTAAATGTTCACAATTTACATACTAAATGTTCACAATTTACATACTGAATGTTCACAATTCAAATTGTGAATATTCAGTGTATAAATTGTGTATTTTGAACCTGGGTCTACCTTACAAGGTGGACCCGTGTCCATGGCATAACTGTTGTTTGATGAGATGTAGCATTCAATATGTAAATTGTGAACACTCAGTATATAAATTGTGAATTTTGATCCCGAGTCTACCTTACAAGATGCATAGATTCGATGACATAAGTGTTGTTTGATGAGGTATAGAATAGCCTAGCTTTCATCAAGTTATTTTAAAGAAAGAATTATTAAAAAAAAGGACCAAAGAGGTTGCCAAAGTGGAAAGATAAAAACTTCTAAGCCCATTGAAGAGTCATATATATATATATATATATATATATATATATATATATATACTATAGACCCTAGTTCAATATACATGATTTGACTTCATAATGTACAGAATTCATATTCATAATGCACAAAATTTATGTTCATATACATACACATAAACATGATATAATGAACATGAATTCTGTGCATTATGAACATGAATTCTGTACATTATGAATATAAATTATTTGTATTATGTTAAGTGTTTATATGTCTTCATTATACCATATTTATGTATTATGAACATAAATTTTGTACATTATAAAGTTAAATTATGTGTATTGGACACTAGGGTCCACAATGCACTGTTATATATATGCCTAATGTAATTAAATTATGTGAAATTGGACTCAATGAAAGTTTAGACCTGCTACGTTCCTGTTTTAAAAAATAGATCGCTCATGCATTAGTATATTGATCATATTTCTTACTCGTACGATGGCAGATTGATGCGATTCAAGACTCTATATAAATTAAAAGCTAAGAGAACCATCTACAATTTTCATGTTTTGCGTTTTATTCTACACCCATAATACTTAATAACAAAGGGAATAATAAAACACCAGAAATTTTGTTGTCTTTTTAAATATTCTGGTTATTTGTTCATCAAATTGAATAGAGCAAGTTTGGTTTGAATCATTGAATTGTTGTTGAAATTTTAAGGCCTTCATGAAATTAAACGGTTTTAAAAAAAAATTGTATCATTTTTACATTAAGTAATACTCCATATGTTAAAATGTTTATCATCTAAATGTATCTTGTTTTGCTAATGAGACTGAATTACTCAACAGGCAATTTGTAATTTGTTATAAAATCTTATATTCTAACACCAAAGCTTTAACAAAGGTCCAGCACTTATATTAGCCTACTTAAGTTTAAATCGCAGGATATACCTCAATGAAGTATCATCCCCCACTGAGAATTTGAACACGAGTATTTGTTAAGTCACTATACCAACACTTAACCTTTCGACCACATACATATATTGTCATTGTACATACTCCGTAGTTGCCAAGAGATTACTTCTACTATTTATAGAGGGCATTTGGTTGGAAGGAAAGAATTATGAGGGAAAGGAATTACTGAATTATAATTCGGTGGGAATAAAGTATAAATTCAAATTACGTTATTGTTTGGTATAGAGAAATGGAATTATTGGAATGGGGAAGAAAAGAAATGGTATAAAGACTAAAATACCTTTGTGAAATAATAATAATAGTAATAATAACCAAAGGTAATAGTGTCATTTCATTTATTTTTCCTTTCTCACATCCATTGAATTGCAATTCATGAGGGTACCCCATAAATTGCAATTCAACAAAAAGAAGGAATTGCAATTCCCTCCAACCAAACAATGTAATTCACCCTGTTCATTGAATTTCAATTCCTTTACAACCAAATTACAGTGTACCAAATTATAGTGGCACACCTAAATACCTAATGCGAGTAATAACTGGTTTGAAGAACTTTTGAGAAGGAGGAGATAAATCTGGCAAGATTTTGAGGCGTGGAAAAACTCAACCAAATACTCCATGTATATGCTTAGCCTATTAATCATGTAATAGAATACATGCTTAATTAATACAGAGTAATTAGCTTTAATTAAGTCGACTAATAATTAATACAAATTGAATTTGATTTAATGCTCATACAATTTACTTACAGCAAAGCTCTGCTCTGAAATGCTCATACAATATCTATCTGCCCATTCTCAACCAGCGGCTTTACAGACTTGTAAGGCAAAGCATATAAATCGTCCGCTTCAATGCTTACAGGATCCTCCCCACTGTTGAGGTGTAGCCAAAACCAAAAATGACTATTTGCTAGATTATGTAAATTAGCAATTAGGAGTGAGTGGAGTAGTCGTTTGTTTACCTGTCATCCAGCTGAAAAGCTCCCAAAAACCTCTTGCTCCTGCAAATCACATAATGCTCCAGCCGTGGCTCGGGGACTATGATAACAAGTCGTAATCAGTTCAAGCAGGAAGGAAGAAATTGCAGGATGCAAAGAAAATATTAACTAATTCCTCACAACTTCACATCCAAATTTCAGAAACCAGCAAGTATGCACACACAAAATGTGCTTGGTTAGACAAACCTACCCATGTCATCCTGCTCACTTACGGAAGATTGCTTCAAATGAGACTTGAAACCTGGTGGCAATTTTGAGAGCACAGACTGTTCAAAATGTGTCTGTAGATCTTCAGCACACCTGTCAGCATTGTTTGTTTAGTAGGAATAGTAGCTACATGACGACTAAAAATAATGTACTTCTCTCTACTAACAGAGGTACCAACATATAACAATTTACCTTTGACCAAATTCTTGTTCTTGTTTAGATAAACGGTTCCAAAATTCATCACTTTTTTGGATGTGAAACACATACTTTTCTATCTGTGCAGTTAACGTACAGTGTGAGCAAAGAAACACAATACAAAGCCTTTTACATAAGAGTATAAGACATTCCATGCAAAAGGCATGTCAAACTTTGGATAGTTTGGGGTCACCAAAATTAATGATCAATCATGAATGTTATGTATACAGCAAGGTCTGTAACTAAAGATATTTAACCTAGATAAATTAAACATAAAAAAAAAAAAAAAAAAAAATAGTAACAAGCAAATAGAACGTCTCAGTAGCTTAAAAATTACATACCAAAATAGATAATTCATGGCTACCTTTTGGAGACGAGTTCTCAGATATGATCTTAATAGAAACATAGTTCTGTCCAGGTCCATCTGGTAAAGCGATACTGTGAGTGGATCAACACCACTTTTTGTGTATTCCTCCACTGTTTCCTCCTAAAGAAGCATCATAAAAAGTGAGGCATGAGAAGACATTAACACAAGAAAACCAACGAACTAGAAATAGATACAGTTTATCACAATGGTCAACCAGGGATTGCCCTAGCTCTAAACCAATATCACACAAGCTGAGAAATTTTATACTCCCTTCATCCCATTTGATGTGTCTGGTTTGGTTAAGTACTATTAAGCACAAAAAATCAAATTTAAAAATCATTAAAAAATACTGAAGAAAATAAGCAAAGTAGAAAAAGTTGGTTTGACTAAACTCTAAAGAATAGTAAACAAGACAGGTAAAATGGGATAGAGGCATTATTAGAATACCATTTAGAGGCGTATTGTGGTTAATGAAACATTATTGGGTTCTCTTACATTTCAGCAGTACAAGCACACACAACATTCATTTGTAATCTGAGCATTATTTATACAAAAGACTTTGTGCAAACTTCACCTCAGTCATCTCTTCATTCCATTCATATTCGTGTACCATAGACCTTGATATTGTATTTAGATTGTTTTATCTTGGGCCAGCTACAGTTTTCCACGTATAAAACAAGTTATACTTTATAATGTTGTTAATAGCAATTTGAAATTAAGACATTAAAGAAATGGTCTTCGAAGAATAAATTCTTCTTCTCTGGGGAAATTTTTGGGATTAACAGTGTTTACCTTTCTCTATACGAGAGGTTAATTAATACCACAATAATGATCCACTATAATCAAAATAATAATCCTAAGCTCTTTTAGTAGAAAAAGCTTTCAAAATCTGAGTAAGTTACATTTTTCTTCTTTGGCAGACCTAGAACGACGGGAGAGCTTCGCTCACTGTACTAATCTTTCAAAATTATCAAAATAGCTTAAACATTGCAATTCGACCAAAATAAATAAATAAATAAATAAAATCAAACAGAGACAGATCTTCAGTATGCAAAATATAGAACAGGGATCGAATAGAAAACTTAAACTAAATTAAAAAATAAATGCATAGAGAAAAAGAAAAGTTAAAAGGTAATGAGAAAGACAGTGATGTACCATCAACTGGATCTGTTCCCGGGATCTCTGGACAAGAGCAGCCTCAAATTGAAGAATTTCGGGAGCACCCTTCTCGTTCCGCCAAGCTCGCTTCATCAGCTCCGCGTCGGTAGTCGAAATCAGGGATTCGAAGTCGTCTGTCGTCGGAAACCCTGACCCTCCATCCCCCGAACCCGAATCCATTATCCCCTTCTTCTAGTGTATACTCTTTTGGGAGGGAAGCTCTCAGCTCTGCTGATGAAGAGAACTGAAAATTTGCCGCCGTTCCGACAAGAACTCCGCCGGATTTCGCCGCAGTTCGCCGCCAAACGTCGATCTCCGCCCCTTCCGCCGGTCACCACCAAAATGACCGCCGCCTTCAGTCTTCCTTCAATCCTTCCCTCGCTTTTTAGCCTCTCTATCTTTCATTCAGTGAAGTCAAATGCAAAGATGATGATGGTGTTTGGGCCCATGCAATATGGACCAGACCTAGTATATAAGCCCTTTAAGCAAAAAATTACTAAAATGGCCCATTTTCTACTTGCGCAATCATTATTGTGTGGACCATGGTCTATATAAGTTGTATGGACCATATTTGTATACAGTAAAATAATGTACATTCAGCATAAAAATAATGTACATTTAGTACAAAAATAATGTACATTGTAATCAGGGAAAGTACATTATTTTTGTACTGAGTGTACATTATATTGTATAATGTACATACACTACAAAAATAATGTACATTTAGTATATTAAATATATTAAAAATGTACATTTTATTATGGTCCACATAACACTATGTAGACCATGATCCACACAATAATTTGCCCTACTTGCGCAATTGTAATGCCGTGGAACCGTGTCCACCTTGCAAGGTATACACGGTTCTATGTCATAATTACTGAACTCTATGTTCATAATTATAAAACTCTATATTCATAATTTTTGAACTTTATATTCACAATTATTGAACTGTATATTCACAATTACAGAACTCTATGTTCATAATTATAAAATTCTATGTTCATAATTTTTGAACTTCATATTCACAATTATTAAATTTTATATTTATAATTACAGAACTTTATGGTCATCATTATAGAACTTTTATTAATTAACAAAAAACAAAAGTGATTTAATTTGGTGAATAACTGAATATATTACTCTTCTCTTTCCTATTTTTTTTAGATTTTAAAAAATTAAATAAAATATGGAGTGAATTGTAATATCAAATTATTCAAAGTAAATTGTTTCTTTATTATTTGGCATAAAATAATATTTTTTTAAACTATAGAAATTATTCATCATCATAGTTAATAAGTATGAAGAAAGTAATAACTATATATAAAGTGGAAGAAAGTAATATCCCATTCTTTATGCTCCTTTCCCATGGTATTGTACTTAATATTTGTGGATTTAAAAAAAAAAAAAAAGAGTTAATACCCAAAATCGTCCTCGACTATAATGGTTTTTCTCAATTTCGTCCTAAACGACTTTGGTGACCTAATATCGTCCCAGACTTTTATGTTTCGCTCAATTTCGTCCCATACTTTTGTGTTTTTGCTCAATTTAGTCCCTCATTTGTTATTCTATCCATTTGGTGTTAAATAAATAGACAATTAAGTAATTTTAATATTGGCATCTCTTAACTCATAGACATGTGAATTGCGAAATCCCTTTTTTTTTTACGAATTAGTCCCAGAATTACTCCTAAAACTGCAAATATAAAATTTGATTTGCAGGTCCGGGAGTAATTCTGGGTGTAATTCGTACAAGAAAGAGGAATTTCGCACTTCACAAATTGAAAGTAAAGAGAGATCAATATTGACATTACTGAATTGTCCCTAAATTTAACACCAATTTGACGGAATAACAAATGGAGGACTAAATTGAGCGAAACACAAAAGTCTGGGACGATATTAGGTCACCAAAGTCGTTTAGGACGACATTGAGAAAAACCACTATAGTCGAGGACGATTTTGGGTATTAACTAAAAAATAAAAATTAAACTATCAATATAAGTTCTCTTAAGATATACTCGTAGACTCTGTTTGACATTATCCCAAATAATATTTCAAAATAAGTTCTTGACTTTTTAATTTTTTTTTATCTTTATTAATGTACAAAAATGACGCCATCCACTCTTCATTAATCAAAATTTTAATATCTTAGAGAATGTTTGGTTCATGAAAACTGTTTTCCAAAGGAAAATATTTTTCTTAAAATGGAGAAAAATGTTTTTTTTTGGTGTTTGGTTCATGGAATTCATTTTCCATTGGAAAATGAATTCCTCAAATTTGAGGAAAAAAAAAAAAAAAACAAACAAACAAAATCCTTGGTTGTTTTCTGTGGAATATGGGAAGAAAAAGTGATATGGGTTGCTTATTTTACCCTTGTTTTTTTTTTTTTAATTATATTAGTCTTATTAATTTGTAGAGGCATATAGGTCTTTATACTTGTTATTCCTTACCGGGCTTACAATTCCAAACCTAACCAAACAATAGAATTAGTATTCCCCATAATTCTTTTTCCACCAACCAAACAATGAAATTCATCTTCATAGTAATTGTTTTTCCACGGAATTTCAATTCCACTTCCCTTAAAAAAAATTCGTGAACCAAACAAGCCCTTAGTTTATTATTTACACTTATCAACTAATTCAACAATTAATTTTATTAATACACTTTAATTTTAATTAATTAACTTATTAACTACTATACTAACTTTTCAACTAAAAGCATCCTTATCAGTTGAGGTTATTTCTCAGTTATTTGTGGGTCCCAGCATCCACCTCATCCTCTATCATCTCATTCAATTACAAAAAACCCTTCTCCACATCAATTTTGAGTTATTTCTCAATTTTTTATGCACCCACCATTTAACTCACTATATTTTAATTATTTCTCTTACTTATTGGGACCACAAATATACCATACTTTGCATAAGAAATATTTTTGAAATAACTCCTCCCCACATCAGCTATTAACTTTGAGTGGAGAGAATTCATGTAGAAATAACTCCTAAATAACTACTAGTGTGGATGCTTGCGTGTCAAATAAAGTCATAATTGACTCTGTTACAATAGGTATCTATTTATAACTACTTTCTTAATCTACTGATGCATACCACCTCCACCGAGACTTAAATTCACACCCTCCCATATAGGGATCAACTTGGTGCCACTAAACCAAAGATCATTGGCATTACCTTCTTTATTTATTTGATTGCATTTAAAATTTCTTTAAACATTCTTTTTATAAAACTGATTTCAAATTACTTTTTCTTAATATAAATACAATTAAAATCATTTCAAAATAGGGAAAAGTGTCAAATTGACCCCCTAAGTTAAGTGGATAGTACAATTGGGTACCCTAAAGTGAAAAAAGCTACATTCAAGTCCCTTAAATTGGTAAAATTGTTCAAATAAGTCCAATGTGACTTGTTTATAAGGTTAAATGAATATGGTGTTGACACGTGTCTTTCTTATTTTATTTTTTAAAACAAATGTTATTTATTTATTATTAATTAATTAATTAATTAATTAAAACAACAACAACAACAACAACAACAACAATAATAATAATAATAATAATAATAATAATAATAATAATAATAATAATAAAGAACCGCTACCGACTGTCCACGCCAGACAACCGGTGGCTGTCTTCCTTCTTCATGGTCGTCTAAGGAAGATGGTTATGGCCGTCTTCTAGATCTGGACGAGGGCTATGGCCTTGGCCGTTGCCCTCGTTCCAGACAGAGGGAACTGGTGGCTATTCGGCGCGGACAGCTAGTAGTTGTTTTTTTAAAATTTATTATTATTATTATTATTATTATTATTCTTATTATTATTATTATTATTATTATTATTATTATTATTATTATTTTAATTAATTAATTAATAATAAATTGTAATATTTTTAATTTTTAATAAATAAAAAACATTTGTTTTAAAAAATAAAATAAGAAGGACACGTGTCAACAAGATATCGATTTAACCTGATAAACAAGTCATATTGGACTTAATTGAACAATTTTACCGGTTTAGGGAATTTGAATGAAGCTTTTTTGACTTAGGGGACCCAATTACACTATCAACTCGACTTAGAGAGCCAATTTGACACTTTTCCCTTTCAAAATACAATTTTTTTAAGTGTTAGACACTAAAATTCGTGCATGAGTCGTTCAATTGCTAGTACTAATAATGAAATTTCTTAACAGACACAATTATGACATCTGAGCACTGAGAAGAAGCATAAGAACAACATTATCAATTGGGGATATTAGGGGGAGAATGTAAGAGTGATTAGGAAAGAGAATGTGAGAGGAAAGAGGAAAAAAATCAAAACTGATTTTTTATTAAAAAAATAAATAATAATAATAATAATAATAATAATAATAATAATAATATAAAGCGCCCGTGTGGGCGGCTGCTGTGTGCGAAACGCACACAGCAGCCCATAGGGGTGAGCAAAATTACCGAAAAACAGACAAAACCGATAACCAAACCGATAATTTCGGTTATCAGTTATAAGACAAAAAAAAATCAGTTATTTGGCTATTCAGTTATTTATCGGTTATGAAGGTGTAATAACCGTAATCACTAAATAACCGACAATATTATATATATATATATATATATATATATATATATATATATATATATATATATATATATATATATATATATATATATATATATATATATATATATATATATATATATATAGCGTAGGGTTCCAGTGAGAACATGTGCTTAGGTGAGAACGTGAGAACATATCATGTGCATCCATCTAATATTTTTTTAATGGTCTAGATTAGATTAAGTGTGTGCGAACGCGCATTAAATGTGTGCAAATGCGATTTAGTGTGTTTGCACACATTTAATGCGCGTTCGCACACACTTAATCAAATCTAGACCATTAAAAAATATTGGATGGATGCACATGATGTGTTCTCACGTTCTCACCTAAACACATGTTCTCATATGATCCTATATATATATAGGCTCCGGATCCCATGAGGTCACTTATATGGATGAGGTCATGAGATCTCATCCCATCCATTAAATCATTACAAATAGAAGGTTGAGATTGAATGAGATTTCTTATATATTTAAGGTAGTAGTCTAAGCATAAGGGTGAATTAGTCATTGTATTCTTAAACTATTTTTGGTTACAAATCAATTGGGATACATACCATCCGAATGGTAATATGATTAGATATATATTAATAGTAACAAACGCTATTCATTTTGTAGCATGAAGTGTGTGTTCCTGAAGTCTACATGTGCTCTGTGCAAGTTCGTGTTATGTCTGTGCAAGATTTCTCGGTAATTGAGTTTAGCCTTTTCAATTTTAATACTATTGAAGGTATGTGCTACTTATATGTTTTTAGCGTTTGCATGTTAGAATACAGTCTGTGTAAGATGTCAGTCATATTTAGGTAAGCGTGTCCAAA